AGGTAAGGCACATTTTTAAATAGAATATGGATATGATTCTTTATGTGCCTGTGAATATAACTTTCATTGTCATCTTCATTAACACCTACACCCTCTCTATTTTTTATTATTCATCTTATACCCTTAGCATCAATGTTTGACTCAAAATCTTATTATCGTCTTACAAATTTATGGCGAGGTGATGATAAATCGCTTGATATTGTTAATGATGGTATTAATGATAATCAACCTATACTTGCTACAACTGGTAATTATACTGGACAATATTGGAAGATTACTTTAACCAGTAATGGATATTATCGCTTGACAACATTATGGCAAGGTTATAGTAAATCGCTTGATATTGTTAATGATGGTATTAATGATAATCAACCTATACTTGCTACAACTGGTGTTTATACTGGACAATATTGGAAGATTACTTTAATCGGCAATGTTTATTATCGCTTGACAACATTATGGCAAGGTTATGGTAAATCGCTTGATATTCTGAATGATGGTGAAAATAATAATCAACCTATACTTGCTACAACTGGTACTTATCTGGGACAGTATTGGAAAATAACAAAACTGTAACACCTGCATAAATAATTTACAATTAAATTGACCTATAACTAATTATATCATAAGAATACCATATAAGTCTTAATTGAATAACTTTATATATGTACTTTTCAAGAATAAACGAGATATTTATATACTTTATGAATTTGTAATATTTTATAGGACATTCTTTTTGCTTAAGCAGTATAGGCTGTGCGTGTGAATGTGGATGTTAGTATCATTCCACACTCTCAAGATGAAGCTTAGTTGTTGGTATATAAAGCCGACTAATATGTTGTGTTCTAGTATTTGTTGTTTGAGTCATCTTTGATTTGAACATTTTCAATAAAACAATCTTGAATCTGAGCTTCGAAGGTGGAGGAACCCCAGAAGAGCAAAAGTCGGGTAAAAAGACTAGTTAGTTATACTAGTCATGATGCCCCGTCAGTGAGTAGTCTTTTTCTCAAAACGACCTAGACATGACTAGTCTAATATTATTGGGAGTCCGTACACCGCGTCCTGACTAGCCCACAGGCGAGCATCAGTATTTTAATATAGTCTAGTCATTTTTACAAAAACTACTAGTTCTGACTAGTAATGATTACATGCAAGGAGGGAAAAGCAGATTCTAAGATTCTAAGATTCCAAAAAATTCTAAAAGATTCCGAGAAATTCCGAAAGATTCCAACAGATTTCCAGGGATATGCAACGATTCGATTTAAAGGAGATATACGTGCTCTAATAAATCTTTGCTTCAAAACTAAACCTAACCTCGTTTTATGCGCTTCGCAATGTATATCATTCGCTCTACCGAGGCAAGAGTCATATGAGATAATAGGAGTTTGTGGCTCTGTTTGTGTTTCCATGCAGATGTCTAGTCCCTTGTTCACATGTATTGATGTGATTTTTTGAGCTTGATTAGAGGCAATCAGGTCCATGAAATCCGCATCTGGCGTCAGTTTTTCCAAATTTCGAACAATACTACTCTCACGAAAGAAAGGGTTTTTTGAGAAAATAATGATTTTTTTATAACGCTTAACCGAAGGTAAACGTGATCGAGAATCCAAATCTCAAATCGACTTCTGAAAATTTTGAGCTTGTTTTTCAATTAAAGACGTTTTTTGAAGAAAAAAAACATTTTTTTCTACAAGCAGTTTTTATCGAAAATAGTTTTGGAGTCAAATGTCACGTTTTTCTAAAGTTATACATTGTGAAAAAATTACTCTTTATTGAACAAGGGCGTTTTGAATAACAAAATGTTTTTAGTAAAAGTCGACGTGTTTTTTCAGTAGAATGGTGTTTTTGTATATTATAAAAATTAAATGCGAAGTTTTGAGAATCTGATTCCAGACTGTGATTCCTGAATCCCGAAACCCTTTAGTCAAGATTCATCTAAAACCGAGTTTTTGCGCAAAATAGCCGCCTCATGCCGCAAAAGACAACCAAAACAAAGTGGCATTCATCTCACAAATATGAATTGGTCACTTAATGTGAACCGAATTAAAGGCTAGCTACATAAAAAGCTGGCCTTCAATAGTAAGTAATCAGTTCTTGTGATAACACTCATTACTAAGAAATTCAGTTTCAAGTAGAAACATGTAACACCTATCGTCAGATGTAAAGTGATACAGCTGAACGTCAAACTTAATAAAATCGAGTGAAAAAAAGTGCTCGATTCCTATTCCTCTCTGCAAAAGAACTCAAGAAAAAATCATGAACGGATATACTTTCACTTCCTCAGTTTCTGACGTTAGTCAGAGATATTGTTCGGCAAATCACTATTCCTCGTGAAGTTCCAAGATTACATCGGCTTAATGAAGTGAGAGGCTCTAAGAGATATGAGAATGCATTTCAATGAAAACGGAAATAAAACTGGATTGATTATTATTTGCATATCGTACATTCAGATTCAAAAGAGATGCTCATGTTCATTCCCTCACTTGCTCTCGTAGAAGTTAGACGTGTTTTCTCTTACTATACGTATAATTTTAACTTTTTGTCCCCTGTCAACTTGATAAGTAGATTGTGAAGTCAACAAGTACAAAAACATCTGTATCACAGAAAAAGGATGAATTATAATAACTACAATAATATGACATCAGAACAAAAAGATAGAATATGTAATGGTATTGACACACAAATATTGATTGAAAATTTCCAACGACAAGAACAATTAAGATCAACAAGCTCAACACTAGATCAACAAACAATCAGTGATTCAAATGGAAATGATCAAAAACGATAATAATTGGAAATCCGTACAAACTCGTAGAAATAATAAAAAAAAAGCGTGTGGGTGTGGGTGTGAGTGTGGGTGTGGGCATCGGCGAGTGTAACTATGTGGGTATCGATTGCTATACATGTGTCCTCCAGACTCACACCGACGCCCACACCCACACCCACACCCCACACCCATTACATATTTACGAACGCATAACTGTTGCTTCTCGCACAAATGCTCCCACTACAGCTACTCCCCAACGACAGTTTCTTTCGCATCATTTCTTTCCTACGGCTCTCAGCTAGAGCTATCAACAATCAAAAACTTATCAGAAAAGTACTTAAGTTATACATAGACCTCTTCCTTTTCCTCACTCTTCCCTTCGCCTTCGCCTTCGCCTAAGTCTCTGTCGTGGCACTTCCTTCGCAATCATCTTCACCATCGTTCCTCCTCCCTGCCCCATGATCACTACAGCAAGTGTTGTGGAAGTCACTATCCGCCGATCAAGTCTTGTTGAAGAGTAAGCGTTCAGAGAACATCTGTCTGACGTGCAGAAGTTGTGTAACCAATATCTATAGATCATTTTCTAGTAAAATGATACATATCTACAAATGAATCTCAAAGTCCGATTAGTTGAATAATGTACCGAACGCTACATATCAACATGTGTTCAATGAAGATTTGCTAATTGAGTTTCGATCAAATTTTTTAAAATGATTTTAAAAAATCATAGAAGAACACATATTGTCTTTTCACCTATTGCTACTGGCAGAAAATGATGCTAAAAGTGATATTGATATCATGATCTTTCTATCAAAAATATTGATAAGAGGCTCTCTCTAAGATTCCCTATTATCTATGTTTTTTTTTATTCATATAAATTTAAAGTTACCACGACCACTGCACATTCACTTGTGACCATAACACGAGCAGGTGATCTATGTATTGGCATATGTAATACAATAGGTGGTGGATCGGACGTGAATTATCCAACCAGTGAAAATCCATCGAACGCTATCGATGGTTTATTAACTACAAAATATCTCAATTTCGGAGATCCATCATCCGGTTGTTCTGGTTCAAGTCCTGTTGGAATAAATACTGGATTTTATGTTACGCCTACTATAAGTAATGTATCTGTTGCTGTTGGACTTCTTTTTGTGACTGCATGGAATGCTCCTAATCGTGATCCAATAACAGTAATTCGTGAAGGAAAAAATGCAACAAATACTACAGCTCTCAATTCTGGAACAAGTTGGAGATTGATTTACAATGGTTCAACAGATATTAGTTTCTCAACAAAATTGTTCGAATACAATTGCTTTTAAAAGTTATCGACTTCTTGTTACTTCAAAACGTGGTACTGATAATTCAGTTCAATATGCCGAAGCTTATATAGTTGGATATATTTAAGACTTTTGAGTTTAGATATTTATGTCAATATGTAAAAGATTAAAAAAATCTCTTCTTTATTTAAATGAAATATAAACATGACAGCTTTATTTTTGTTCTATACAAAATATCCAAAAAGAAGCAACAAATTCTAATTGGTTGGCTAGATTAAAAGAAAATCAGTTCTATTCATTAAATCATTTTATTTGCCTGGTTTAATTTCCATACATTCATCTGGACGAAATTTTTTCTTAACACAAATATTCGGTGCACAACAAGGATTAATACCAAATTTACATTTAACACAGTTCTTGCCAATTTCACGAGTATCAAATGATCCTGTATCATCATCACTATCACCATTCAGCATTGAACGAAGAAACATCCGAGCTTTCTTATCCGTTAATTCCATATCTTTATCATTATCATAGAATAAACGTTTAGCATCCGAAGTTGAAATGATGAATACTAATGCACAAATAACAAGAAAAATAATTGTCTTCATAGTTGTGTTTTTTGCAATATACGTATATGAAACTTGACAGAAGTATATAGTTCCAATGAATCTTACCTTGATCAACTGAAATTCAACAGAAATTGTTCGCCTTTTTATACTATCATTTTTTCTCTCATGGCAGTTAATAAATATTTATCTAAATAGTATTTAGCGACAAAACCCACTCGTCAGATTAGAAGCTTTTTTATTCATCACTGCCATTATTCTTAGATAAGTAAATATGAGTAAGAGAGTGAATGTTGCATAGAAAATAAGAGAGTGTCGCAATAAACTAAGCCGATAAAACTAGTTATCAAAAAAGGCACATTTGTCTTAAAAATGAAGACTGGTAATAGTATAAATCTTTCTTTATACAAGAAAAAAAATGTTGATAATTTATGAAGGCTCATATTACAATAAATACAATATCTTAATAGTAGCTTTCAAGATGATTGGGTGTGGGTGTGGGTGTGGGTGTGGGTGTGGGTGGGTGTGGGTGTGGGCGTTGATGTTGGTATTCGTGCCGTGTCTTCCAGCACACCCGCACCCACACCCACACACCCACACCCGCACCCACACCCACACTCACACTCATAGCCCACGCCCACACCCACTCCCACACACCCACACCCATACTCACACTCATAGCCCACACCCACACCCACACTCATACCCACCTACACCCACACCCTCTTTGACATTTATCTATTTCGCAGGGAGACTTTAGAAATCATCGATTCTCGAATGATGAAAATTAACAAAATCTTGTAAGTCGATGACAAATCAGAACATTTGGATAATATCAGAATATTCAAAACAGAAAAGTGATCTTTTAACATGCGATTCATGATCACATACTACAGAAGACAAGATAATTCTATTCATAAAGACTTTATTACTTGATCATTTGTTCAAGAATATGATGAGAATGTTAAGACAATATCAATTTTGAGCAATATTGAACTTTTGTACTCGATGATTGCCATATTCACTCACATAGAGATTGCCCTCTCGATTAAATGACAAACCAATTGGATAATAGAGTTGATTACATTGGCTTGCTCGATCATTTCCACCAATGATGGCACTCCCCTGTGTAGCTCCTTGAGGCCAACGCATTATTCGATGATTCTCATTGTCAGCCACATAAACAGTACCTGATTGATCTACGACAATTCCCCAAGGATTTGATAATTGAGTAAGACTATTTTCTTCATTTTGTTCACCAGCTACGACAATGCCTTCTTTCGCATCTTTCATCCACTTCATCACACGATTATTGATCGAATCTGATACGTAAACTGAATGATCTCGATCGACGGATACATACATCGGTTGATACAATTGATCGAGATGATTTCCTGGTCCATTTCCACCTGCAACGACTGTTTCTTGACGTTTTCCCATTCGATATCGTATAACTTCATGTTTATCGCAATCAACAACGTAGAGAAATCCATTATCGTCCATTGTCAAGCCCCAACATCCAACATTTGAAATAATTGTCTCTCCATTTGTACCATTTTGACGAGGCCATCGAACAACTCTTTTATTATTGTAATCACAAATGATAAGACTATCTCGTTCTTTATCAATAATTACATCTCTTGGACAGTTCAATTGATGAGGATTGTTTCCTTCTCCATTTCCACCAGCCACAACTCGACCAATCGTTGCACCACATTTCAATTCCACAATACGATGATTGTTACAGTCAGCAATGTAGACAATTTGATCATCATCAACGCACAAACCACTTGGACTGTAGAGTTGATTCATTTCACTACCACCCCAATCTCCTCCAGCAATAGTGAAACCATTTTGTATCCATTTGGCATTGTCATTCAGATTTGCACTACGTAGTAATGGTACTGAAACGAAAGACAATTTTCATTTATTCAGATTTGATTAATGTACGCCGATGAAAACTGATATTTGAAATAAAGAACTTCGATCAAGAGAGTAAAAGAGAAAGAATAGTTTTATTCAATGATCATGTTGAACAATGTTTCAATGGTAATCTCATTTTTTTTTAATTTTTTGAATAGAGAAAAGTCTGAAAGCTTTTATTGAATGATAATTAATACTTGCATTTTCGAATTTTCTGTTTATCTAATCATCGTCGAAAGATTTTTCATTTCTGAAACAAGCTTTAATAATAAAAAATCATCATTGATCATTAGTAGCAGTGAAGAAATTTGACGGTACCTATTTTTTCAAATAGATAATTGTTGAAAATACTTATAGACGATTGAAATAACTATTGAATTTCGATCAAAATTAATCTCTCACTATTTTTGTTTTTCAAAAACAAATGATTGACACTTTAAGAAACATTTGATAAAGTTTCATACAGTCTGATTTTCACAATGGACACACATATTCATTTTCGAAAAAGTCAAGATCAATAACTCATTTAAACAGAACAAAAGTTCACGACAAAGTCTTAACATAATTCATTTTTTTATTATTCATCGAATGTCAGTCGAGCGCAAAGACAATCGAATTTCTCATAATGATCTTTCAAAGGAAATTCCTCGATCACTTCCTTATTGTTTTGTTCGACTTATTGCAACTTTTGAAAGAAACATAACATGACTTTTTCTATTCGACTATCACAAGTCTTGACTCAACAATATTTAACAAATTTCGATCAGTTCATCAGCCAAAATCGAAACATCGTATTATTTCAATGAGTGTTGATGCTCGATTTATGCCATTGTTGAGATTAACTTAAGAGAAATTGAAAATCTCAAATGATCTTTTTGATTTTTCTCAGATTCTTTCAAATATGATTTCTCTCTATTGAACATGATTAAACTTTAAATTATCAAAACTGAAAAGACTTATTTCTCTATCTATTCAAAATACATGACAGAACAATCATCTGCATTTATGAATGATGCTACACTTAGAAATTCAAAAGAGCCATAAAAATGTTTGACAGTCTGGAAACCCTAGTCGAACATCTTGTAAGCAAGATCTTGAGAAGATCTTGAAAAGATAATTTGTATGTGCATATCTTGGGTGTATCAAATAAATCTGTGCTTAAGATCTTGTTAAGAGCATGGAAATTATATCATTCAATATTATCTTCTCACAAGATCTTGAAAAAACCAAAAAGCGACATCATTAGTTTATTGATTACATAGTGAATAGTCATTCACCGTTTTTTTTATGCATACAGAGCCGTATATAAACAACGTGATTGAACATACAAAACATACATTTTTCAAAATAATTTTTTTCTAAACTCTTTCTCGACTATTAATNTTTAATTTTTTGAATATAGAAAAGTCTGAAAGCTTTTATTGAATGATAATTAACACTTGCATTTTCGAATTTTCTGTTTATCTAGTCATCGTCGAAAGATTTTTCATCTCTGAAACAAGCTTTAATAATAAAAAATCATCATTGATCATTAGTAGCGGTGAAGAAACTTGACGGTACCTATTTTTTCAAATAGATAGTTGTTGAAAATACTTATAGACGATTGAAATAACTATTGAATTTCGATCAAAATTAATCTCTCATTTAAACAGAGTAAAATTTCACGACAAAGTCTTAACATAATTCATTTCTTTATCATTCATCGAATGTCAGTCGAGAGCAAAGACAATCAAATTTCTCATAATGATCTTTCAAAGAAAATTCCTCGATCACTTCCTTATTGTTTTGTTCGACTTATTGCAACTTTTGAAAGAAACATAACATGACTTTTTCTATTTGACTATCACAAGTCTTGACTCAACAATATTTAACAAATTTCGATCAGTTCATCAGCCAAAATCGAAACATCGTATTATTTCAATGAGTGTTGATTCTCGATTTATGCCATTGTTGAGATTAACTTAAGAGAAATTGAAAATCTCAAATGATCTTTTTGATTTTTCTCAGATCCTTTCAAATATGATTTCTCTCTATTGAACATGATTGAACTTTAAATTATCAAAATTGAAAAGACTTATTTCTCTATCTATTCAAAATACATGACAGAACAATCATCTGCATTTCTGAACGATGCTATACTTAGAAATTCAAAAGAGCCATAAAAATGTTCGACGGTCTGGAAACCCTAGTCGAACATCTTGTTAAGCAAGATCTTGAAATCTTGAGACCGATAAGCAAGATCTTGAGAAGATCTTGAAAAGATAATTTGTATGTGCATATCTTGGGTGTATCAAATAAATCTGTGCTTAAGATCTTGTTAAGAACATGGAAATTATATCATTCAATATTATCTTCTCACAAGATCTTGAAAAAACCAAAAAGCGACATCATTAGTTTATTGATTACATACTGACTAGTCATTCACCGTTTTTTTTATGCATACAGAGCCGTATATAAACAACGTGATTGAACATACGAAACATACATTTTTCAAAATAATCTTTTTCTAAACTCTTTCTCGACTATTAATCATTCGAGAAATTGTGATCTTGATCGTTGATCGAGAGAGGACTACCTGAAGCCGTCTGATGGAGATCGAATCATCTCAAGAACAGGCAAGCTCCAAGATCGAACTTACTTCAGTTATTCGGAACAAGAATAATTAAAATCAAGATAAATTGAAAAAATTTAATAATATGCTTTTACAGAAAAAGAAAATAATAAGTATGCTGTAAGATAGGTTTGAACCACACTTTCAGATTGTATCATGGATTGTGTCGTAAATCACGATACCTGCAACACTTTTTATCTTCGTATGTATCCAAATCTTACGGATCTATACCTAAGATCTTATAAATCTCTACCTAAGATCTTATGAATCTGTACCCAAGATCTTACGTGTATGTACCCAATATCTAATTCAAGATCTTGATACAAGATAATATGATTATCTTGTACCTAAATTTTCAAGATCTGTCCATTTTTCTGTACCTAAGATCTTGACCAAGATCTTGCTTACAAGATGTTCGACTCGGGAATACTCTTGAGATTCGCTTTCGTGGCACGTATACTTCATTCGAAACTTAACACATTACATCTATCATGATCAGTGAAGAGAAGTTTTCTTCATCTTTCGAAATATCCAATGACTACAGAAAAATCATTAGCCATTCGATCAAACAGTTGCATTTTATGGTAAAAATAAGAGAAGAAAGTAAAGCGAGACAGGAAGAAGAACTTTTTAATGATTCACTATTCTGCAAAGTGATCAATGGTTAGAAT